ATTATATTAAAGTCACGTGATATGCATAAAATATTTACAATACTAATTGCAAAATTCGTGTAACATAATCAGCCAATAATATGAAAGTCCTCCTATGAGTCGTAAACCCGATAAATTGTCAGATGACCCTGAGAAAATTTATCCCCGAAAATGCCTCGTGACGATGTTCGGTTAATCACGTGTATCTGTAATCCTCTTATCTCTCAAATATATGAAATATAATGAAAAAAGCCTTATCTGAATTTCAAACTACTTCCGACTTCACGCGGTTTTAGAACTTAAATTATACCTACATGTAGTTGATCATCATCATTCTCTCTCTTCATTTTTAATAAAGGAAAATGCCTACTGAATTTAAACTTCCAGTTATCGACCTTTCTGCATTCACCACTAATTTGAATTCTCAGGTTGCGAAACTTGAGACAGCTAGACAGATTCACGAAGCATGTCGTGATGTTGGATTTTTCTATCTGACAGGTCATAATGTACCTCAAGATATTATTGATAAAGTATTGAAATTAGGTTATGAATTTTTTCATTTACCAGAAGAGGAAAAAATTAAATATAGCATAGCCAATGAAGATTACGCAAGGTTGTAATTTAAACGTTTACCTAAGATTTTTGAGAATGATTAATGGAATTATTTTTTTTTTTTAAAAAAAAACTTTGAAGAGGGTATCAAAGACTTGGTGAGAATGTTACAAAGTATCAAAAAGATTGGCATGAGGTAATTGTCGCGTTATTGTAACGGCTATAATTCTTTCACGATGATGACGTATAACACACTCGGAAATTTCCAGGCACTTGATTTCTACAGACCGATACCTCGTATGCATCCGTTGGTCTTGAATAACCTACCTTTGAGAGGTGAAAACCAATGGCCCGAGAACCCGGCAGAATTTCGTTCAATATTTAATGAATATATAAATTTTATGCTGAGATTGGGTGTTCAAGTGATGAGTGCCATCGCATTAGGGTTAGGATTAGAGGAGGATTTTTTTGAAAAATTTTTAAACGAATCATTTTGGTATGCATACATTTCCATAGATCTTTTGGTAGCCAAGATTTACAAACTGTAACAACTCAACATTAATAAATGTAGGGTTATGAGAGTTATCGGATATCCGGATCTTAGAAGTGTAAAAGACCGAAGCCGTGTAAATTTTAGCTGCGGTGAACACACAGGTGATGAATTATAATTATAAAATGTCTTTTTTTTTTTTTTCAGATACTTTTAATATCTAAACCAAGAAATATAAAAAAATTATACTACATATAAAAATTAAGATTACGGGTATGTAGAAATCAAGGAATGTATGTTGACATTGCCGGACTTTTTCTAAATAATTTTCACCCTTTCACTATAAAAAGCTGCCTAACCTTTCTAAATCAGGATAGCACCAAAGGAGCCTTGCAAGTTCAAAGAAAAGATGGCACTTGGATTAATGCTGAACCAATACAAGGTGCTCTTGTAGTGAACATAGGCGATATGTTAAATGTAATTATTATCTCTCTCTTTTTTTTTTAGATCAATGTCATCAAACATATATTTGCTTATAGGTTTGGTCGAATAACGTGTATCAAAGTACTCTTCATAGAGTTATTCACCAGGGTGATAATTATCGTGTATCGTAAGTCTTCTATTATTCTTATGTTATTTATAGTGACATCGTATATATTAAACCACAAGTTTTTATTTATCTGAAATTTTTTTAAAGTGTTCCGTTCTTTTACGAACCTAATTTCGATGCCAAGATAGAACCACTCGAACCTTGCTTAAAACTCGATCCCGTGAGACATCATGAGCCTGTCGTTTATGGAGAACATTTGTTGAAAAAGGTTTCAACAAATTTTGAGGTTACAGAATTGTGAGATCTAATCTGTCATAAGGTGTTTTTGTATTAGAAACCCGAATTTTCTCATTATTCCCGGAAAGATTCCGTAAGCATATCTAAACAATACACCATAACTAGGATACCAATTCATTTTGCCCATTTAATCCACTTTGTAAGATGATTTTTGCGGTTTCTTCAGCATTCATAGTTACATAATCAATCAACCATTTTGGGAAATATTTATCAGTATGGTTCCTCATTGTAATTGTATCAATTGATCCTAAATGACATAAAGTAATTTTGATTTGATTTTTTAATTCTTGATATTCTAATTCTTCATTCAATGAAATGAAATATGAGTTAACTGCTGCGATACGCCCACGACATTCCTAATGAAATCATGGACATAATTGAGGATAATACTATTATTGATTTGAATTCTCCTCGTTTATTAGAAATCATGTGCGGTATGGCTAAGTGTGGCAACGTAGCAAATCCAATTAAATTTGCCATCATTATATCTCGAAGTTTTTCAATCATTGTTTTTGGATCATTAAAATCCATGTGTTCAAATAATGATTTAATATTAACATATCTATTTCGGGTTTTTTATTATTAATTTCATTAAAGAAGTTAACTGACGAATTTAATAAATATTCACAACCTTCTTCATGTTTGAGGTCGCATGTAACAATCTTTATCTGTTGATTTGGTGATATTTTTTTACATTCGGACGCAATTTTTTCTAAAAGTTTTGTTCTACGAGAGATTAGCTCCATGCTTAGCACATATGTATGTCATTCTTCACCAATTCCTACGCTTGCCCCCGTGATTATGACGTTTTTTCCTTGGAGTTTTGAAAGTGGTGGCATATTATATATCAAAAAGAAATGAATAAAGAAAAGATTATGGCTGATAGCATTATTTCGTTTAAAAGGGGAGTATAAAACGTTTTTTGATAATCTAACCGAGTTTATGCATTATGTTGTGTCATAATGATGGATCATTAGAAAAAGGGTCAGCAGATACGATTTCATATATTTTATGTGCTTTTTGTTTTTGTAACCATTTAAAAGGAATAATTCTAACAAGAATGAGCAATATTAACACAACACCACCTCTTGTTAATCTGAATAAAATTAACACAGTCCCAGAAGGTACTGGTGCAAGGTGTATTCTTTTTTTTTTTCCGACAAAAAGCTGTTTTTTGTCTAATGAGCTTTTTCTTTCTTAGTTGAAATACGGTTGCACGAGCCACTCATTATAAAACCGAAATCTCGTAAAAAACGGATAGGGTTACATGTTTTAAACGCGTTAGCTAGACTAGAAGTTTTGTTGAGCAAAGAGGAAATGCTTGCAAGTTCGGAAACTGGTGTGCAGAACTTGAAGCAGGTTTGTGTGGTGAAAGATAAAGTTTTGAAAACAACAAAATTGATTGAATGGTCGAATTATATCCGGAATTTTTACCATCGTCGGTTATCAATGCCAAATGTGCAGTTTCTCGAGTCCATCTTCCTAACTGGTAATGTTTTATGTGGATTGCTGAACGATGTTTACAAATGTTAGGAACAGTACTGGGTTTTCGCAATTTTTTGATTTGAGATAATTGGGGTTAAATTTTGAAATCCAATTTGTTTTTGGAAATATCATATCAATTTGCTAATGTAATACTTTTTTTTATTTATTCTAGCAACAATATAACAAAACAGAGATCGAAAATACAGTTGCTGCCTTAGAACTTTCGACATTGCAATTTGAAGAAGATGGATTAGCAAAAAAGGATCTTCAAGTAAGGTTTGACGTGTAATTTGTCATTAATAATTTAATTAACTGAATATTTTCTCGTAAAATAGACTTATCTTAGAGAACTTGGCCTCACGTTGTTATTCCCGAAATCTGCGAAGCGATTAGTTGTGCCAAATTTTGCCTCGGGGAAAATCGATGCTTTGGGTAATTTAATTTCATTATTTTTTCTCTTAATTTTTTTTTTTTTTTTTTATAGATTTCAACTAATTCCTTTTTAATTTTCAAGCACATTTCCATGAGATGAATGTACATAATCAACTTGTTTCAATTTCTTTACAACTTCAACAAGATATAAAACTCACCAATCACAAATACATGGCACACCAACTCGCATTGCTATACGTAATTTTTTTTTTTTATTATTATCATTTAATAATCTTTTTTTTTATTTATTAAAACTTTTGTTGCATTATTATTGATTAGCATTGCCTCAACCAAGCTGGTGGTCATTTTATTAAATATAAATCGCGTGTCGAATTACATTTCGATGATATTAAATCACTGACAAATAGCTCAGAAAACCCGAGACTTTCAACAGAGCAAAGAGAATGGTAAATATCTCATTACAGAATTCAAATAATTAAATCATTATTTCCTAACCAATTTTTTTTTTTTAAAAAAAAAAAGGCTATCACAGCTGACGGTGGATGTTGTTACTGAAGCTCTATTTAGTGGAAGACCTGTTACCGCAATGTCACAGCCTCTGGCGGCTTATTTAAACAATATTAGTGAGGTGGCACCAAAATGAAAAACGAACTAATCATAATTGACGCCAATTCGATAACTTTATTTAAAATTCACTCCATATGCATGATTATCAGAAAATGAGAAATCACGATCGTTTTTTATAGACAATAAATTTCCCTGTTTAGAATTTTTTTTTTTTTGATTAATGAAAAAAATGAACCCATATCTATTTTTGGAATAAAGTATTTATATAATCAAAATCGTGTGAAAATTCTTCGACTCGTGGGAATGTAATATCTTTTAGTGTGGCTTGATTTCTTAATTTGGTTTAATCCTTTTTTTTAATGTGGCATTATGAAAGAATTTAAACTATGATGTTTATATTTTTTGGCACGTTATGCGAGCCACGGAAATAAATTAATATGTTTTCGAAGGATTTATCAAATCTGAATAAGCCTTTGGTATGGTATGATGCGGAGAATTGCGGTTACAATAATCTGTTGGTTAACATGGATCGGAAGTTTACGATGCATTCCGAATCATAAAAAAAATTACACCTAAAAAAACGCCAGTTAGACAAATTTGTACAGAATATTTTATTATAGTAGATCAAATAATACATATTTAACTGCTTTGTGACTCATCAACTAGTTTCATGACAATAAAAAGATCATATCATTTTTGAAAATCATTCTCGACACATTTTACTCGTCTTTTTTTTTGATTTATTTAATTTAACAAAGAAAATTTACCAAAGAATTAATTTATAACTGTTAACTATGAGCTCAGGTGTGTGTACTCCTTTTTGATATTGCCTTCTATTTTTGTTTTATTAAAACTATTTCGTTCTATTGTAAACAGATACAAAGATTGCTTGTGTGGTATGTTTTGTCAAACGATCTTTGCTCTCTGAGTTCCAATATGGTTGTTCAAAAAGAATTTTTACATTTATATAGATGGTAGGACTTCCCGCTCGTGGAAAGACCTATATTGCACAAAAAGGTATTTATTAAAAAGTAATGAGGATTTTTTTTATTTTTTGAGTTTTGTTTTTTTGGTTAATTGGATCATATAATGAGGCACTACTCCCAATTATTCAAGTTTACATTTTTTCCCTAATTGATAGTATGTCGATATCTTCAATGGTTAAGCGTCTCAACGAAGGTATTTAATGTTGGTAATTATCGACGTAAGCTTCATGGTGCACATCAGATGCACTCGTTTTTCGACCCCAACAATAAGGAGGGTGAAATTGCGCGTAGGGAAGCTGCATCTGAAGCCCTTAAAGATATGTTGAGATGGTTCGAAGATGAGAATGGCACGGTAGCCATATTTGACGCTACCAATTCAACCCGGGAAAGAAGATTTTTCATCCTAAATCATTGCAAGAAACAAAATATTCAAGTCATCTTCATTGAATCGGTTTGTCAAGATGAGAATCTCATCTTGCAAAACATAATGGATGTTAAACTATCATCTCCTGATTATAAGGATATGGATCCCGAAAAGGCAGCTGAGGACTTTCGTGCGAGAATTTCCCATTACGAGGAAGCTTATGAAACTATCACGGAGAACGATTACACTTATATCAAGCTCATCAATGTTGGAAGTCAAGTAGTGATTAATATGATTCAAGGATACCTTCAGAGTCGGATTGTATATTATTTGATGAATTTACATATTATGCCTAGAAGTATTTTCTTTAGTAGGGTCAGTATGTTGAAATGTTTAAAAAGTTTTGTTGGGAGAGCACGGAAGTTCATAGTCTGATGATGGGTTTTACACCAAAAAAAAAAAAAATTGAATAAATAAATAAAAATAACCAAAAACGTATGTATTATCTGATATTAGCATGGGGAAAGCATCTTTAATCTATTGGGTAAGATTGGTGGTGATTCCGATCTATCTCCACGTGGTCGTAAATATGCTAATGCTTTACCTAAACTAATTCATGAACACTTGGGAAATCAACCATTGACAGTATGTTAAACATTTTCATTATTCATTATTGTTATTGTTATTGAATTAATTAATCTATTTAAAGACTATTTGACAGTTTTTCTTTTTTTGATTTTCCAAAAGGTCTGGACATCCACAATGAGACGAACAATACAAACCGCAGAAGCTCTACCATATACAAAATTACAATGGAAGGCATTAGATGAATTGGATGCAGGAGTCTGTGATGGAATGACTTATGAAGAAATTGAGGTTCGTTGGAATGTACTTTGGAAAATGATTAACTGTTCTTGATACGAGCAACGGAATTATTTTTGACATCATATTTATAATATCATTGCTTATAGGAAAGATATCCTGAAGATTATTCCAATCGGGACGAAGATAAGTTTAACTACCGATATCGTGGCGGTGAGGTAACATTTCAATCAAAATAAAATTTTTATTATTTGAAAGCACAATATAATCCATTGTTGAGATTGATTAATAATTTTTTTTTTTAAAAAAAAAAAAATTCAAATTCAAAATAACTAAAATGGAAACAATAAAAATACCCTTCATTGTTTAACTAAAACTTTTTCTCCCTATAATATTATCAAAATGGCCAGTCTTACCGAGATGTTGTCCTTCGTTTGGAACCAGTGATAATGGAACTTGAAAGACAGCAAAATATCCTGATAGTTGGACATCAGGCTATCCTTAGATGCATCTATGCATATTTCCACAATTTACCTCATGACGACTTGCCGTATATTAAAATTCCTCTACATACAATAATTAAATTAACTCCAAAGGCGTACGGATGTGCAGAGGTTAGATACAAGGTAGATATTGACGCGGTGGATACACATAGGCCTAAACCTCAGCCAAAACCGCCAAAACCAGTTGTTAACGGCAACTCAATCTCCAGCTCAAACCTTACTAATGTCACAAGTTAAATTTCTTTTGTGTATTTTGCGGAAGTTTCGGGAGCAAAGGGATATTTTTAGGTGATCATGACATTTTGATTATTATTTTCATTTCTTTAATAACTAGTACTATTTTGGATCTTTTATTTTTTGATCATATGTTGTAAAATGCAGGCTTTGCATTTGGCAAGAGGGGGAGGGGATATTGGTGAAGATCGAAGAAAACATAATTTTTGGTCTTGGTGAATGACACCAAATTTGGCTAGGGTTGTTTTGTAAAAGGATTTATGATTCACAATCGTAGATATGATAATTTTTTTTTAAACAATTATTATCAGAATATCCTTTGTATAATCAGTTTTTGCGCCCTTTTTTTTTTAAAAAAAAAAAATTTGTTTCTTACCTATTATACAAGGTTAACTTTTGTATACAAAACTATTCAAAAATATAAACTGTTTTGGTTTTCTTCCAACGCCGTATTTTGTTTTTCTTATGCAAGTCTGTGTGGAGAAGCGCACATACGGGAAAGGAGAGCTGCTTATAAGGGCATTTCACGAGAGAATGGGGCTTTTGCATGTGAGAAAAGTATTCAGTTCTTTGTTTTAGAAGTATAAGCGGGGAGGAAAGGTATATCTTTGAATTTTTGAAATTGATTGGAAAGAGGGCGAATGCAATAAAAGTTTGACGTTTTAGCTGCAGTAGTGATCACAAAGCTGTATAAGCCCCCCTGCAGCACCACCACAAATAAATTTCCATCGACAATATAACCTGATCTGTGTGACTTATTTTACTTGTTAAAATAACCGCTCAAAAGACCTAACATCTTTTATCCAAATTGTGACAATTTATAGACTTTTAATAGAATCGTAATTCGTCGCATCAGTATAATTCCATAATACATATAACACACAGACAATAAAACAGGTTTTTTATTTTTTTAAATATATAGAAAAAAGATTTATCTACACTAAAATCGAATCAAACCCGCCAAGTGACTTGTACCAAAATCAATGTTGGCATCATCAACTCTAAATTTTTTTTTCCTTCCCTTGCATTTTAGATGATAGGGTTTTTACCTTATTTGAAAAAAAAATTTTTTTTTTTTTATTATAATACTCCCTTTCCCTCATTCTTTGGTTCTTTTGTTTTTAAAACATCCGCTTTTTCTTTTCTTTTTTTCTTTTTTCTTTTTTTTTTCTTTTATATATATATATACATATTCTACATAAACTATCTTATACATATAATATTTAAAAAAAAAAAAATAAAAAAAAAAATAAAAAAAAATTTATTATATTATCATTATTATTATTTATATATATATTATTATATATTTTTTTTCTTTTGAAGTCGTGCCGAGTTCATGGCTTCTCGTATATTTTCGTATTATCTTTGTTAAAAAAGCGTTCCTAATTTATAGGAGAACACTTTATCTAAAAATTTCCCGTCTTATAGATATTTTTATAAAGGGAGTGTGTAAATATATACAGTATAAATATTACAAAAACAACAAAAAAAAAATTTTATTTTAAAAATTTTGAACATTATCAAAATTTCTGGCAAAAAAAATAAAAATTTATCTTTTCTTTTCTTTCTCCTCTTTTTTTTTTTCTTTACCTCTTTTTTCCTTTTCCTTTTCCCACCCCCATTTTATTTTTCTTAATTTTGATATCGTTGCACATTTTGAAAATGGCCACACCACCTTATATATTACCTTCAAACCTTTCCGCGTCGGTTCATACCGCACCACCTACTCCTAATGTAGTCATGCCACCACCACCACCTCGGCATAGCGTTTATTCTAGTGACCCACGCGCTCACCTCATAAGTGCCAATAATTATTTTCAACTTTATTCCACTTCTTCCCCGGCGGCGACAGAACAACGTTTTGTAAAAAGTTTTGAAAATCAAGCTACCTCAAACATCCTACCTCCAATAAACACGTCCACCAATGTAGTTACTGGCTTTAACACGTCGGGAAATAATAATTTACTCTTTTCTAATAACGTGTTGGTAGCTACTTCTAGACCACGTCTTGAAATCAGACGTAGCAGTGAACCCACATATCATATGGAATATGCTACCTCGGAGTCGTCGTCTTTTATGTCACCTAGCAGATTTTCCCAACAGGATACTATTCAAAATTTTAACTTGCAACAGAAACTTGGTCACATGAAATTATCTTCGGCACCACCCGCAAAAACGATAATGCAACAAATGCGTCGTAGACCTTCCACGTTATCACAAATTTTGCAAAGCAATGATGATGATTACAGAAAAGAAAGACAGCCGATAGAGCAGAATAATATTAAACGGCCGAAATTTGACGACAGGAGGGAGGATGGGAATAGAGATAGTGAAGATGGTGATAGCTGTAATAATGTTTGCCAAGAGAGGTGAGTTGTTGCCCCCATCTTTAATAAATCAAAAAAAAACAAAAGACAATGAGTGAGCCTGAATGTATTCGAGAATAGAGAGAGCGAAAGTTTACTTTCGTTCATAAAAAAAATTAATTATATATATATAATTAAGAGAATTCCTACTCTATTCCCCTCCCCTCCCCTGTTGATCTTTCTGGGAGTTAATTATTCTGATCCAGAAAATATGATATCCATCACCATGCCTTTGATTCCTTGCTTGTTTGCCTACATTAGAATTTTTTTATTTACGAGATTGAATACTAACAAAAACTTTAATCAACACAATTGTTTTCACGGATAAATTCATTTCGTAGTAGGGGGATTACACCATGTCTTTCACCGCTTCAAATCGTGCCAACGACTAACGCGATGAGCTCGTCATCCAATGGCTCGCCAGTTACAACAAATGACAGTAGTGATACTGGAAGCATGTTGGGTGAACAAGTTCCGCAACAGCAAATTTTACGACAAAATAAAGGGCTCAGGCACTTTAGCAAGCAAGTATGCGATAAGGTGGAATCAAAAGGAGTGACAACTTATAATGAGGTAGGTAACGAGAAGATTTATGGTTATCGTAGTTGTGAGGTCACGCGCATTTTATGTGTCAAAAAAAAAGAAAGAAAAACAATAATTTTACTCGCGGGATATATTTATTATTCATGCACGATGGCACATATTTGTGCATATGAGCATCCTTAATAACTTGGCCTTTTTTTTGTGTGCATTTCAATGCATCAGGTTGCAGATGAACTTGCTGAAGATTTTGCAGCCCAGGTGACAGAGCATGGAGGTGTGGTGAGTGTAATTTACAAATATATCCATGTGTATGATTTCCTTATAGGATCTGCAATGATTAATAATTATAAATTTCATGTAGCAAAAGGTGGATCAAAAAAATATAAGACGTCGTGTATACGATGCTTTAAATGTATTAATGGCAATGGACATAATTGCCAAAGATAAAAAAGAAATAAGGTGGTTAGGTTTGCCGGGTCAAAAAAATGGTGTGAATTCGGCAACATCGTCTGCGACGACTGATGCTGAAATTGAAAGGCAAAAATCTGAGCTCAGAGAACTGGAGGTAAATAAATATAAAGATTGTGTTTTTTTACGCGTAATTTTTGAATGTTTAATGGCGTACCATAAACGCGTGGAAACAAAATAAGATGTTTATAAATTATGACATGGTATATTTAGCGACTGAATCGACGCTTGAGTAAACAAGTGGACGAAGCTAAGGTTGCTTTTCAGGATAAATTAGCAAGGGTAAGTCATTTATTTATTTCTTTTTATTATTATATCGGGGGAAAAAAAAATAATAAATAATAATGTGTACATATTAGTATAATATAACTTAATTTCTGATTGATTGTGTATTTAACAATGTTTCAAAAAAATTGATTATATAGCACCTTCACATCCGTAACCTTGTGAAGAGAAATAATAAACGTCATAACCCTTATCGAGTAACGAACAACAAATTAAAATCCGAAAAAGAATTGCACCTTCCTTTTAGGTTATTACATTGTCCACGAGGAACAACCATTGAACATCATAATAGCCAAGATGGGTAAAGAACATTGTTTAGATTTTCAACGTGCAGAATTTTTTTAAGTTGCATAATTCATTAAATTCATGATTGTGTTTTATTTTTGTGTTTCATAGATTTTCTCAAATCCTTTCCTTTCATCCTCATCAACCCACTATACTCGAAGACACTCATATTTTGCAATACATTGGTATGGACAAAATTTCGCTCGATGATATACAACAATGGGTTAATCCTGAACATTTGAAATGGATTGTCACGAAACAGTGTGAAGATGGGGATTATCGTATAAGCTGTGCTCAATAATTTTTGAGCACAAAAAAAAAATAAGCTTTTATTATTTTCCCGTGATTTTACGTTGAAAATAACAATAAGATTCCGAACATTTTTTTCACATTTTTTTCTTATTTTTATTTTCTCTAAGTGTTTTGTTGAAAAATAAGCAGTTAATCAAAAATCATGAACAATTGAATAAAAAATCTCAATTCTTTTTTCTTTTTCCTTTGTCTATGATATCATTGATTTATTGAGAAGCTTGTGTTACAATTTGACATATGAACACAAATCAATTAAATAACAATGTTAATAATTTTCGATTATTTGATGTAAATTCGGCGCCTTAAACACCACCCCACACTTGACGATCAATGGAGATTTTTTCGTGATGTGGTGAAATTTTGTGCCCCCAACATATTTTTTTTTTTTTTTATGGCATATAAAATATGTAAACAAGATTTGGACACGTTTTGAAGTGATACCAAAATACCAAATAAAATAAGTGACCGAGATTAGTAAGATTGATGGAGAAAAGTTTTGGTTGTATAATGGTATAATGGTAATTGTTTACATTATGAACAATTTATCATGTGGATATTATGTTATATGAACTTAATTTTTTCGTTAAAACGCTTTTTTTTTAAAAAAAAAAACCAGTTTTTGTCAACATTTTTATTGTTTTGACTTTAAATAGGTTCATTATTGATTTCAAAAATGCAACAATACCTTTTTTTTTAAGTTTTTTATCTTGTACACAATTAGTTAATCTCTAAATGACAGCGGAAAAACCTGTATTTTAATTTAAACCTTTAAATAATGAAAAAACCAGTTAAGACCTTTACAACATGTTACAGGTTATTGCCAAAGAGCGAATGACTGAGGACTCTAAGAGCAGTTTATCTCTCAATATACGTGTGTGTCACAGCGTGACATATATATATAATTTAATTTAATGTTATATTGTTGTAAACGTCCCAAATTAAGTTTTTTTAAAAAAATAAGACAGAAATTTTTTTATCTATTTTTTTTTTTTTTTCGTGAGATGTTTATATAATTTGCATTAGAACATTCGAAAGGTATACGTGCAATTTAATTAACCACTTTTTTTTCTTTTTTTTAAAAAAAAAAAGATAAAAGATCCTCATAATATCAAATCATTCCAAGGTTACAATTAAAAAAAAAATATTGAAATAAAGGTTGACGACGGTGGGGTTTGAACCCACGCATGTTTCCATACCAGGGCCTAAACCTGGCCCCTTGGACCACTCGGGCACGTCGCCTTTTATAAGTAATATTTGATTATAATAAAAAGAAATAATTTTATCGGGAAATTCTACGGTACTTTAATAATTCCGAATCACATGACTTTATATGGGTTAGTACGTACAAAAATCAGGTTTTGATCATATGATTTATATAGTCCCGCAGCATGATTTTCGTACGTACTAACCCATATAATTTTTAAAGGAATCATTCAAAATATTTATGCTAAAATTTTTTTATTTCAAAATGCAAAAAAAATATATCATATGGGAATTTATTTTGGTGATAAGTTAAAATTGCTAGATGCTAAACGTCCTTGATATATTGCTTCAATTTTTGAAAATTTTTGGCCGCTTCATCCAATGTTTTATCGGTCTTGCAAAAAGCCAATCTTATCAGATTCTCAGCGAGGTGAGCATTTTCCTTACAATAAAATTCACTTGGTGGAATGGCCACAACACCAATTTCTCTTGCCAACCAGTAACACACTTTAAAATCCCTAGGACGTTGTTGAATAACTTCTGGATATGGATAATCCTCAGGAATTTGAACTTTTGCAGTGTTTGCAAGAATAAAATAACTTCCTTGTGGAATAGTAAAAGGAAGTCCGATTTCTGTTAAAACTTTCATTAATTTCTCGCGTCTACGCGTATATTCTTCAATATTCTTTTCAAAATAATTATGCTTTTCGGCTGCACCAATCGAAGTCGCAAGCGCTTCCTAATCAATAAAATACATCATAAATAATAGAGTATGAAATGACAGAGTGAGTCGGATTTAAATACCTGAAGCGGAGTATTGACACAAAAGACAATTCTGGTTTGTGCGGACAGCGCGGCTCCTACTAAAGTCTTTGGTCCAATCAACCATCCAATGCGCCATCCGGTCGTGCCAAAGGTTTTTCCACCACTTCCAACGGTGATGGTACGTTCCCATGCACCAGGAAGATTAGCAATTCTTTCATGAACATGAGGTTCATAATAAAGTCGATCATACTTGAATATGAGAAAGGAATATATTTACATATAAGATTGATTTTTATAAACTAATAATGAATTAGAAAAATCATCGCATACCACTTCGTCACTTATGATTATCAAGTTAAATTCTTCGGCCAATTTAGTTATTTCAGTCATTTCGGCTATTGAAAAAACTTTTCCAACAGGATTATGTGGGGTATTAAAAACTATGATTTTACTTTTTGATGTAAATTTTGATCGAAGTTCGTTCATGTCTAATTTCCAGTCTTTTGATGATATGATTTTATTCGTGTCACCTTGAGGCCTTAAAGGGACAAAGACGGGAACACCACCGTTCATAGTGATATTCGCCTAATGTGATCATTAGGTTAGAAAAAGAATCTATATTACGATTTATCACCAAAAGGGCACAAACAAACTTGAGAGTGATTGCATACGATATATTGATCAAAAAACGGTTCAATCAAAATAACTTCGTCGCCCGGATTCAAAAATGCGGAAAAAATTGCGAATAAGCCTTAATTTTTACGAGGAAATATACATATGCCATTAGAGATTAAATTTAATAGAAGTGAATAATTTTACGCACCGTGCATTACAAAAGAACTTTATTAAAAAAAGTAAACCTTCATTTGCCCCTGCTGTAGGAAGAATTTCTGAATCGGGATCTAATGTTCGGTTAAACAACGGACTATAAGATTTTGCTAAGGCTTCTTTTAGATTTGGTCGACCCTTGGGATGACTTGTAAATAATATAAACAAACAATGATAAATTGCTGACAATATTCCCCATATTAAAATTTGAACAAAAAGTGGATATCTAACCTATACTGATGATAATTCGGATTATTAATAGCATCGCTTGCGGCTTCTATGACGAATTCCGGTGGAGGGAAACTTTTAAATTATAAATTTCAAGTTAAATTCAAAGAATATTAGTTTACTTCAAAAAAAAAAAAGTTATGACGCTGCGAAAATAAATTTCATACTCCATAAAACCTTGACCTAAATTCGTAGCTTTAAGTTGTTGAGCCAATGGAGTAAAAATGGACCATACTAAAAACAAAACAATTATTTTAAAAGGATTGATATGAATTGTTATTTGATAATTTGTGTGAAGGATTCTCATGCTTCATTACCATCTTGTTTGAAATGTGCAATTTTATCAGATCTTTCAAAAGGATTGATCTTAATAGTATTAGTAGACATTATATATCGGGGTTTGAATAAAATGGTTGAAAAATTTATAAGTGGTCTTTTCGTGACAAAATGGAGGCCGACGCAAAAAAATCTCTTGTTCATTTCATTAGGCTTAAATGTGTTATATTGCCATATTGGCAATCCTAAAAATATCAATCAAAAAAAATTACATAAGCAAACAAATAGTATATCTTCAAAAAAGTGTAACACCGTATATCAATTTTTTTCTCAAAAAAAAATTCCATTAGCTATAATAACTCATGCTGCTTAAAATACCAATAAAAAATGAATATCTAGGTATAATCTAGAGAAGTAACCTTACGTTAGAAAAAAAATAGTACGATATTTTTTTATTTTTATTATGAGAATAGTAGGATAATCAGAAAAAAAAATTTATATTTGAGCCATTGAAACAAAACTTCGCTAAAATATACTGAGGTTTTAGTGAAAAACAGATCGTTGCTGGTAAAAAATCGATAAATATCGGTAAAAGTATGGATAATAATATCCCTACTATTATTAAAATACAAATTAACAATAATCAATATTACTCCATCGCAATTTATTTCATAAAATGATAATATCAACGATAAAAATCAGCGAATTCGTTTGTCTTCGTCGTTTTTGTATATAGTCGAACTAAGAATACTAAGTGCAATTAGGACACCAATGTCGAGACAGCCAATTGGTTGATCCATTGTCCTAACGAAAAGGTATGTTAGGAAACGACGATTAGTTTTAGTAAAAATATTATAGAAAATATTCTAACAGAATATGTGAACATACCGATTTTTCACGCCAAGATCTTTCTCTCTCCACGAGAGCTTGAACAAACCTAATTTTTGCATTGTTATCCGGCAGGACGTTAAAATCTTATTCTTTTTCGTGCGGTCATACCATTATATACTTTTGCTTCTTCTTGAATGAGATGAAGTCGGGCGATTACAGCAGCAGACATTTTAGTTGGATTAATAGAATTGATGAGAGTTGAGAAATGAATAGAATTGATGAGTTGAGAAATGATGTATGAATACAATCAGAAAGTCACTACGCAGGATCATAATTAATTTGACGTCTGCTCTGAATTATATGTTTACTGCATAAATTATTAGTTAATCAATTCCTTAATAAATATATGCATGATTTATTTATGTAAGAGTTTTTATTCTCTAATTGTTTGTCTATTCAGGGAGTAAACTTATTTTATTAAATATATTTTTAACTAATAAAAAAAAAGAATTTTTTGTTAAAATAATGTCTATTACTTCGGCAAGAATCTTTCCCTTTTTCATTTAAATAAAATAAGTTTACTCCTTGAAGACTCCATCTAAGTTTACATAAATAAATCATGCATTTGATTAATTGATAATTTACGCAGTAAATATATATATAATTCAGGGCAGACAATCAAATTAATTATGATCCTGCGTAGTATTCAGTTCACATCATACGACTTCTGATCGTATTTATATATCATCTCTCAACTATCAATTCTATTCATCTCTCAACTCTCATCAATTCTATTCATCTCTCAATCTCATCAATTCTATTCATCTCTCAATCTCATCAATTCTATTCATCTCTCAACTCATCAATTTTATTCATCCAACTAAAATGTTTGCTGCTAAAATCGCCTGACGTCATCTCAATCAGGAAGAGGCAGAGGTATGAACGCACGAGTAAGAAGAATATTTAACACCCTATCAGATGACAATTCAAAAATAGGTTTTATTCAATATCTCGTGAAGTCAAAAAGATCTTAGCATGAAAAATCAGTATTTTTAGCTAGGAAACACATATTCTGTTAGAATATTTTACTAATATATTTTACTAAGCTTTTGTCATTTCCTAATATGGTTTTTCGTTAGGATATTGGTCAAAAACTAGTTAGCTATGGACTTTATGTAGATGTCCTGATTGCACTTTTTATTAATTCGAGTATATACAAAAATAATAAAGGAAAACTAAAATTATTTTGTTATTGTTAAATTTGCTGATTCTTATCATTGATATTATCATTTTATCAATTTTTTACCAGCGTCAATTTATTTATTTTTCACTAAAGCGCTCAAATTTAAATTTTATTGATTTTTTCATGTAATAATAGTAATTACGATAGATCTATATTTCTGATAATCCAACATAAGTTTGTTGTTCTTTATTATAAAATCTTTGATTCTAAGCTAGCTAAATTAGTTGTGATTTTATCAGAACATCCAACTTTTATTATCCAAATACAAAGACTTTCAAGTTAAAATCTAAAAAGGTGAAATAGTAAATCTGATAATAATTTGTTTATAATGATTGCTGTATTAAATTCCAAAACTTTCAGATTCAAAAATTTGTTCCTGTTTTAAAAGAATACAGTATACTAAAGAAATAACTGTTGCTAATTCGCAAAATCGAATCAAATAAAATCAAATATTTGATCAAATCAAATCAAAGATTAATTCATATTTGATCAAGTAATTTTTTCTTTGATTTGAATTTGATCGAATCAAATCAATTATTAATTTGAATTTGTATTTGATTTGATTTTTAAATCGAATATTCAAATATCAAATCAAATTGCAAAATCCTAATACTTACAAATATACTCAAAATGAAAGAATTATGGGTTAAAGATAATGTCAAATCAAATTATCTTAATAATTACACATTTATATATTAAAATTACTGATTATGAATTAAATATAATAGTTTTAAATTTTTTAAATAAATCACATAGTTTGTATAAATTGTGAATTACATTAAAAGTACCTTCATAGGAAGAATTTCATATGATTGGCTAATTAGATTATATGAATTTTATAATCAATATTATAATTATTATTATTTAATACATAATATTATTACATATAATATTAAACTTTATAAATTATTCCTTAGACAATATAGCAGGCAAATTTGCCTGCGAAATTAAAAAAAAATGTTAATTTCTTTATAAGATGTTAAATATTAATTTTAATAATATTGTTACACAAAGATGACATGGATGACTCAGATGACGAATATGACTGCGGCAACTAATATGTCATATATGTCTTCTATGTCATATATCTTATATATTTCTTTTATTTACTATATTATATATATCTCTTT